TACACCCTGCATAGTAAAAAAAAAAATGGACTTTTTTTTTTTTTTTTTTTTTTTTTAGACTAACAGGCACAACTAATGTCTGCATTTTTGGGGGTTTTGTAGTTCCAGATTTAAAGTGCATCTAAATGCAAGAACCAAGTAGATGTACTATTTGGAGCTACATGGATTATTTTGAGCTTTCTAATGTTAAATGCACAAAGAGAGTTCTTCCTAGCAGGGTGCACAAACCTGATTTATCTAATCTTGATAAATCGATAAACCTCAATTGGTTGTTGCAGGCTTCGTATTATTAGCTTTGTCTCTGTGTTTAATGTATGTATTTTGGTCATCCTGTAGCCTTTCTAAAACCTGAAGTGGCTCTTGCTGCTGTAGCAGAAAGTGGAGACAGTTCCTCTTTTGACATGACCATCAGGACTTACTTTCCAGAAACATGGATCTGGCAACTCACTCAAGTGGGGTTAGTGAAGCATCTCCTGTGTTATATCAGTAGTTGAGAATTTACCTCTCCTGTCCCCTCTTATTTATGTTTTGTGGTGTCCTCTCTTCAGAGACACTGGATCCACACAAGTTTCTCTCAAGGTTCCTGACACCATCACCACATGGGAGACGGAGGCGTTCTGCCTGTCCTCCAAAGGTTTCGGCTTGGCTCCTCCAGTTCAGTTGACTGTCTTCCAGCCCTTCTTCCTGGAGCTCTCCCTGCCTTACTCCATCATCCGTGGAGAGTCTTTTGAGCTGAAGGCAACGGTCTTCAACTATCTGTCCAACTGCATCATGGTCTGTCATGGTTTCTTTATATAATGGTTCTCTATAGGTCCCATATCTTAGCTCCATGTGCACTGGTGTTCATTGGCAGGTTAAAGTAACTCCAGCTACATCCTCGGCCTTCACTCTTAGACCATTTAATGAACCATATTCGTCCTGTCTCTGTGCCAATGGGAGAAAAACCTTCAAATGGGTTCTCTCAGCTTCTGTTCTTGGTCAGTTTTGGCTCATATGTTTCTAAATTTGAAGTATATAAGTGTGAGATGTTGCTCACTTCCTGTCTGTCACTGCAGGACCTGTCAATGTGACTGTCAGTGCTTCAGCTGAACCATCTCGGACTCTATGTGGCACTGAAGTTGTGGTTCTGCCAATGAGGGGACGCATTGATGTAGTCACTCGAAGTCTACTTGTTCTGGTAAGTGTTAACCAGTTTTCTGGAGCTTGTTCATGCTGCTTTACGGTTTACGTTTTTATTGCTTTTATAGCCTGAAGGAGTTGAAAGGACAAACACCCACAGTTGGTTACTGTGTCCAAAGGGTTTGTTTTGCACTCAGTGATTCCCAAATACATTCTTCTTATACTGCCAAATATTAGCCTGGTTTTCAATGCTTATCCCTTCTGTTCGGTCTGCAGGAAACATTCTTTCTGAAGACGTGACTCTGACGTTTCCAACAAATGTGGTTCTTGGATCAGCCAGATGCTCCGTTTCAGTCCTTGGCAAATCATTTAATTGAGCAGAAACTGACACGTGATGTTTGGCAGAATAACATTTCTGATGTAGGTTTTGTTTTTGCTCTTGTAGGAGACATAATGGGTCGTGCCCTGAAGAATCTGGATGGGTTATTACAGATGCCATATGGCTGTGGAGAACAGAATATGATTGTTCTTGCTCCAAATATTTACATCCTGCTTTACCTGGAAGCCACAGAGCAACTCACAGCAGCCATTCGACAGACCGCTACAGGCTACCTTCAAAGAGGTATAGATGAGCAGATACGTTTTGCAAGCTAGGGAGACTTAAATCCTAAGGACATTCAGTCTGTACTTCCCATTGTATCTGTCATACTTTAATAAGCTCCCCACATGTGTTTTTGACCTGAACAGGATACCAAGGACAACTGAACTACAGGCACAGTGACGGTTCATACAGCACGTTTGGTTACGATGAATCGAACACATGGTGCGTTTTATGCTGTTCTTTAAGTATCCTTTTTGTCACCAACGGTTTGTAAGTTCAGTTTGACTTGAAACTTCCATGGCCAGGTTGACCACCTTTGTCCTGAGGTCTTTTGGTCTAGCGACACGCTTTGTATTCATCGATCCAAATGTCCTTCAGAGTGCGAAGGACTGGTTAATTAGCCAGCAAGATTCAAATGGCTGTTTCATGCAACAGGGGACTTTGTACCACAACGACATGAAGGTATGCATGTTATCAAATGGACTGTACAATATGGACGTTGTCAGTGGTTTTTAATCCATATGCTGGTGTGTTTTAGGGTGGAGTTGATGATAACGTGACCATGACTGCCTACATCACTGCATCACTGCTTGAACTAGGTGTCCCCCTCACGGTAAAAACATCACCAGTAGTCGTAGGAGTTCCTTGTAGATCTTCCTGTTCTGGCAGTTTTCTGATTTTTATTGTTCATTTTTTTTTTTATCCTTTTTCAGGATCCTGTCATTACCAATGCTCTGTCATTCTTAAGGCCTGTTGTTGGGAACCTGGGAAACACTTACGCCAGCGCACTGCTCGCTTACACCTTCAGTCTGGCTGGAGAAACCAGCACTCGAGCACAGCTTTTAACAACCTTGAACAACCGTGAAATTTCTGAAGGTGATATTTACCAGTCTCTTGTTTGAGGTTTTGTTCATTCGGTTCTTTGGCATCAACTTTCTCTCCCCGTCTTGTCTTAAGGCACTAAGCTCCACTGGTCTCAGACTACATCTGGTGACACTCTGGCGGTGGAGATCAGCTCCTATGTACTGCTGGCGGTTCTCTCTGTACAGCCTCTCACGACTGCTATTCTGGGCTATGCTAACCGCATTGTCAACTGGCTTGTGGCCCAGCAGAATCCCTATGGAGGCTTTTCTTCCACCCAGGTGACTGACCACCAAACATGAGTGCAGTCATTTATATGAGTGCAGTTTTTAATCTGGTGCTTGGTTTTAGGACACTGTGGTGGCTCTTCAGGCTCTGTCAGTGTATGCCACTCAAGTGTTCAGCTTGGCTGGTTCCAGCACTGTTACCGTACAGTCCTCCATGGTAGGAGGAGACTTTTATAGCTTTGACGTGAATCAGAACAACAGGCTGCTGTATCGGGAGAAGCTGCTAAATAACTTTCCAGGCGAATATAGTGTCAGAGCAACAGGATCCACCTGTGTGTCTGTGCAGGTCTGTACCTTCACCCCCTCTATTTCGGTTTCTGTTGTGCATGTCTTAATACTCGGTGTATACTTGGCTTTGTGCACATAATGCAGGTTGCGTGTTTCTACAACATCCCAACACCCATTAAAGTAGCCAGGACACTGAGCATCGAAGTAAAGGTGACTGGAGACTGTGAACCACTTGGAGCCAATCTCATGTTGAACTTCACGGTGAAGTAAGAATAACTTTTGTCTTTGTTTTGAAACAAGCTCATGTTTGACTCTTAAAAAGGTATGCTGCTTTTTTGTTCTTGTTGACTAAACCTCATTTCCTCACCTTCATTCAGATATGATGGCCCAAAATCTAGCACTAACATGGTTCTAGTGGACATTAAGATCCTGTCAGGTTTCACGGCAAATATGTCGCTGGTTCGTAGGTGTTTTTTTTTTTTATTTATTTTTTTTTTTTTAAAAGATGATTTGGAAAGTTCCAAGATGCTTGAAGCTCCTCCAGATGTAATTGTGTATCTAAACGACCCCCCCCCGTTAACAGCTTGGATCTCTTCCCAATTCATTTGGCCCGCTAGTGGAGCGGGTTGATGCTGGAGATGATCATGTCCTAGTGTATCTGAAAGAGGTGAGACTGTACACTGGGTATAATCTCTAGCTGCCATATTCTTGTGTGCTGTGTGTGT